AGACTCGATGGTGCGACTGAACAGCAACAAATAAAAGACTTAAAATGTGGGGTCTTTGATTTTCTTATTCAAACTAGACATTCTGATGAAATCACAGTTCTTCCCTTGTCCATCTAGTTCAGCCATTCTTCCAAGTCCAAAGTACCGAAGGCCCGATATCAAATTGCGGCACTTGTGTAACTTTATGTAAAATCTACCCATACATGCCAGGTGAAGTTAGAAGTTAACAATCTTGTATTACTTTTACTAGCATTTCAAGGTAAACTGTGGCATCCAGTCACAACTGACTCACGGCGACTCCATGAAATTCCACCTCATGGGGTTCTGAAGGCATGAGATGAGTAGAACTCATTTGCCAGTGCCTTCCTCTGCAGAGCAACCCCAGTCTTCCTTGGTGGTCTCTCATCCAAGTACCCATCTTGCTTAGCTTCTGATCTCTGAAAGGATAGGGCTGGGCTGGGCTGGGCTGTTAGGCTGCTAATAAATCTGTTTGGTTTCTTCTATATTTCAGGGTCCAGATGGCCCACCCGGTCCATCTGGAACTACTGGTCAGAGGGGCATTGTGGGTATGCCAGGTCAACGAGGAGAGAGGGGCATGCCTGGGCTTCCCGGTCCTGCTGTGAGTATCTGTGGAGCTGGTGTTTCGTATAGGAGTGCCGCTTCTTCTATTGCTTGTAAGATCTTCAGCCACAGGAGACTTTGGTTTAACCTGAAAACCACGTGTCCACACTGTCTCTTTATTTGCAATGACATGCACTTGTGCACTTCTTTATTCGGCCAATGACCAGTAGAACATAAGAACATAAGAGATGCCAATGTTGGATCAGGCCAAAGGCCTATCCAGTCCAACACTCTGTATCACACAGTGGCCAGAAATACCAGGTGCCATCAGGAGGTCCACCAGTGGGGGCCAGGACATTAGAAGCCCTCCCACTGTTCACCCCCCCCCAAGCACCACGATGACAGAGCATCAATAATAAAAGCTTTACAGAAAAAATCATTAGAAAGTTAAATTGGTCTGATCTATTGGCATCCGTTAATTAAGATCTGTACATAAAACCTCTCTACGAACTCTACAGGCTACTGACAAACATTTGGCACGACTAATAGTAACCTGTTGATTAGCACCCATTAAAAGTTTCTTTAAGATATAAACATCAGAAGATCCTGAAAGGTTACTAAGTAGAGGGGAAATTATATTCGAACGAGCTTCCTGGTCAAAATGACAGGGGAACATTACATGCTCGACTGATTCCACCGCTTTGGTACCACACAGACAAATCCTCTCCTTCATGGGAGTCTTTTTCTATCTCCCCTCAAAAACTGCATAGGGGAGGACTCGCCATCTTGCCACTTGTGCACATATTTTGAATTATATCTGTGATATGTACCGTATTTTTCGGACCATAAGACGCACCTGACCTTAAGACGCACCTAGTTTTTAAAGGAGGAAAACAGGGAAAAAAATATTCTGAACCTTTGGTCCATAAGATGCACTCACTTTTCCTCCCACTTTTTTTGGAAGAAAAAGTGAGTCTTATGGTCCAAAAAATATGGTATTTTAAATGCTGCACTGATGAGGGTTGGCCCTTAGAAGAATGGCCTTAAGCAGGGGTCATTTTGTAGAAAAAGAGGTGCTAGAGCTCATTAGCATAGCCCATTAGCATAACGTATTTGCATATGCCACACCCCCTGACGTCACCGGAAGTGTGTCAGAAGGCAACACCCACCGCTCAGGCTCCACTGGATTGTTTTGGATTGCTAGCTATTGGGTGGGGGGGGACACGCAGATCTGTCCTCACAGAGGAGGGAGAGCTTGTACCTGAATAAAATTTGGTCTTAAAGGTGCCACTGGACTGTTTTGGACAGGGCCGGAAGGGGGGGGGGCTCTGCAACTTACCTGGCTGTTTCTTGCGCCTTGTGGCCCGGGACTGCTGGGAGCAGGGGGTGGGGCTTGTTGCATGTGCCCGCCCCCTGGGCTCTTTACTGCCGGAACTCCGCTCCTGTGCGCTCCTGCAGGAAATGACCCCGGCCTTAAGTACTGACGAAATCTCTCATCGTTCCAGGGCACACCAGGAAAACAAGGTCCAACAGGTCCAACGGGAGACAAAGGTCCTTCGGGGCCTGTAGGTCCTCCAGGTGCTCATGGCCCTACAGGTGAAGGAGGCCCAGAAGTAAGTGTCTTTTTTTCTTGACCATACAGTGGCTTGCCGGCCTCCAGGTAGAGCATGGAAATCTCCTGGAATTTACAAGTCATCTCCAGATGACAGAGATCGGTTCCCCTGGAGAAAATGGCTGCTTTAGAGGGTGGACTCCACGGCATTATAACCCGCTGAAGTCCCACCCCAAACCCCGCCCTCCCC